TGAATTTGACTTCCCTAGGTATGTTGTATTAGCGGAATCATACAGTATTTGACTTTCTGTGACTGGCTGAAACACTTTTAAATAATACATACACATTATACATTTAGAGACTTTAGACTTCTAGACCATGTTCCCACACACAGAGTACAGTAATACAAACTTCTCGGTGCCAGAGCATCTGTAAGTACAGGCGGACCATCCATCTTTGCCCCTTTTGTGCAAGTACCCAAACAGCTCAGACATATTTTCCAGTCTGATTAGAATAATATGCACACAGATTTTTGCATATTATATATAAAGAAAAGAAAAGGGCAAGTCTGTTTATTATTGTTAGAGTAATTTATATTTGATAGGAATCATAGAATGTTAGAACTAAAACGTGATGTTAGGGTTTCCAGTCCATCCAACTCATTATACAAATGAGAGAATAGATCCAGACAGGCAAAGTCTGTTACTAACCCCAAGGTTAATAACAGAGGAGGAAACAGGTTTTCTTAATTCTATGCACTTTCTTTTTTATGTTTGCTAGTGTTCTAATGACCATTCTTACAGTGTAGCTCATTATGTCCTTCAATATCAAAGACGAATATTTATAGAATAAAAGAAGTGAAAAGTTATGTCAACTTGTAGCAACAAGTAAATAGTGAATAACAGAAGTTATATCTTCCCTTAATTTTTACATTAAGGATTGGTAAATAGGAATATAAACATCATTGTTTTATTAAAACAAAAGTCTGTTTAATGGGACTTTCGATATGCTGAATCCCTAGCATGGGATTTAATTCTGAAATACAGGATTATTCCTGCACTATAACTCAATGTATAATAAAATCTAGAACTGATAGAGCTCATTTTGTATAAGCCTTTTTAAAATGTATCAGTGTATGAATATGTGAATAATGACTTCTCTGAGAACTGATGATCCCATCCACTTAAGATTAAAAACCCACAGAAAATACTCCATGGTGGTCATCTCCATACCTACCTAATTGTACATTCCATCAGTTAAAAAAAAAAAAAAATTCCACAAACTCAATTATGTTTATTTATGTTATATGAATAAACTACTTTGCTGAGAAGTACACATTAAAAGCTTAAACAACACATACTTTTCTTTTTTTAAAGATTTTTATTTATTTATTTGACAGAGAGAGAGAGATCACAAGTAGGCAGAGAGGCAGGCAGAGAGAGGGGAGGAGTCAGGCTCCCCGCTGAGCAGAGAGCCCAATTCGTGGCTCGATCCCAGGACCCCGAGATCGCAACCTGAGCCAAAGGCAGAGGCTTTAATCCACTGAGCCACCCAGGCACCCCAGAACAAATACTTTTCAAAAGATTGTTAAAAATACATTTTTTTTCTTTCTATACCCAGTGGATGATTTTGTATACATCTTTCCTTTGAAAATCAAAGGGTGTGTGAGGTAATAGTGATCATCATTTACCTAACATAATGGTATTGTAGCCTCTTGTTACTGAGAGTGAGAACAGTATAAATTGAAGGATACAGTGCAGTAGAATGTACTAAAATACTTTCATGAAGGTCTGTGGAATGACAACTTTACAAAGCTCTATGAAAAATGTAATAACAAGTTAAACCAACATTTATTTAGCATCTGCAAATGAGATACAATATCCATCTACCAGGAAGGAGCTTACATTATAGTTGGAAGACATTTTACTTAAATGTGTATTTGAGTGCTGTAAATACATGTGAAGATAACTGATAATTCAAGAGGGAATAGAAGGAATGTGTGTGTGTATTTTTAAGATTTTTATTTATTTATTTGTCAGAGACAGAGCGAGCACAAGCAGGCAGAATGGCTGCTCTCTCTCAGCCTCTGCGAGAGAGGCAGGTTCCCCCCTGAGTAAGGAGCCCGATGCGAGACTTGATCCCAGGACTCTGGGATCATGATCTGAGCCGAAGGCAGCGGCTTAACCGACTGAGCCACCCAGGCGCCCCTGTTGTATATATTTTATGTTCCAGAGAAAAGAGACATTCATGGGGAGGAACAATCACTTTAAGCCTGAGGAAGTCAACAAGGGCTTCAGGGAGGAATTGCTACTTTTATTTTATTTTTTTTTATTTTTTATTTTACTTCACTTTACTATATCTTATGTCTGAGCCTTATAATCTGATAGGCAGAAAGCATGGTAAATATTTCAAAGACAATGAATTGATTCATTTTATTGAAGCAGATGGTTTTTGTGAAGGAAATTAGTAGAAGGAAAGCTAAAGAAGTAAGTTTCATTTGAGGAGGATATTGTTCTTACCCAGGCTAAGCAAAATGCACATTTTCTGTCTGTAATGGGGAACTGCTGAGCAGAAGTGTGATGTGATCAAAGTGGTAATTTAAGAAGATAGATCTGTTGGCAATAGAGAATATATTCTGATGGAGACGGAAAATGGAGCTAGACTAGTCAACAAACCATTATACCATTCCTAATAAGAAAGAGTTAACATTTTGAATGCCAGGCCCTATTCTGAGCACTCCTCAAGTGTTAAATTCTGGAGGTAAGTACAATTATTATCCTCTTTTTTTATAGAGGAGGAAACTGGGGCACAGAGCAGTTGCCCGCCCACCCCACCCCATCCCAATGTTACATAGCTATAATAATCCAGAAGTCTCCATCTTCCAGGTGCTGCCTGGAAGTAAATAACTTGGATTTTAGAATTCTGTCTCTGAATAGAAATGAGGGACAAGGGGCGCCTGGGTGGCTCAGTTAGTTAAGCGTCTGCCTTAAGCTCAGGTCATGATCCCAGGGTGCTGCTCAGCAGAGTCTGCTTCTCCCTTTCCCTCTCCCTCTGCCCTCCCACCCCACCCGACGTCCACGTGCGCGCGCCCACTCTCTCTCAAATAAATAAAATCTTAAATAAATGATTGGGGGACAAGTCCATGAAAGAAAAGCAGCGTGGATAGAACTCTGCCGACTACACACGTGGGGCAGGAGGGAAGTGACAGGGATGAGCCAAGCAAATTCAGAAATATGGAGCAGCATGAATCACAGTAGAGAAATCAAAATCAAATGACCCGTCCATCTTAGAAACAGAGATTGATCCTAAGGGTATAACCACAGAGATAGAAAAAGAACAAAGTTGTCTTTTAAAATTATAAGAATAGTGATTACCATGTTAACAAGAGGGGGAAAAAAGAAAGACTTGAAGATTATTACGGAAATGTTAACTTTCCTTACTGTTTGGATATTCAGTGAAGCTTTTTGAAAAGCTTATTACTATTTTCTAGATTTTCTTCAATAAATATGTATTACCTCTATAATAATTACTCTAAAAGGAAAATGCTAGGCTGGGAAAGGATTATTTTAAGCTGCAGTTATTCACTCACTCATTCCTCAAATATCTATTGTAGTGCTTGAAATTTGCTGAGTGCCATGTGCCAAAACTTGATCCTGGCTAGACGTTTGAGACCCTTCGCTCTCATCCAGAAGCTTTCAGTCTAGCAGGAGACAGACATGCAAACAACCCTAGTGTAATGTGATAGAGAAAATGTGTTCAAGGCACAGTTAGCAGTTTGGGGAAAGAGCCATCCAGATATGTTTGTTTGAATCTGGGAATGTGTAACATTTAAGATACTATTTTACTTAAGACTTGAAAGCTGCCTGGTTGACAGATAAGCTGGAAGAAGGCAAAGAGGAAGCAGCACCTTGTGCAGTGATGGTAGAGCATCCAGAAGCAAACATTGAGCACTGGTTAGAATCGGGAGGGAGAGCTCTAAGCAGGATGCATTTGAGCAGTGGTGATACTTGTAGCCTTGAAGGTGTGTAAGACCTGTAAAATAGGGAATCTTGAGGCAAACTTCTTAAGCTGTAGGAGAGGAAGAAGATGCAAATGAAGGACCTAGGGAAGTAGGAAGAGTCAATATTACGATGTGGATGCCCGAGAAAGCAGGGATGTGGGTGGTCCGTGGCTCCACTGATGCAGAGAGGTGCTCATGCTGTGTCTATTTCCAGTCTGTGTGCTGCTTTTCGAGGTCTAAAATTGTTCCATAGTCTGTGTGCAGTTTCATGTGCTGCCTTCTCCATAAGTGAATGAACTATGATTTGTTTTTTAGTTTTGGGCCTTTGGGCTTTTCTTTCCACTCTGAGGAAAGAAAGCAATTTGTAAAGATTCAGGAGAATGCTTTATGAGAAAATGGATGTGGGGGTAAAATATTTAGAAAGTTAGCAGTGAGTGTACTAAACTGAAACAAAGGTAAAGTATTCATCTTTGTATTCTGGGCACTTAGATCAGTGATCAACAAGGAAGGAAAGAAGGGAGGAAGGAAGGGAAGGAATTAAGAAATAGAGTATGGATATTAAGATCAATTCTAGGGTTTTTTATTATCCTAGTGAAAACTTACTTATACATATATGGGTATATGATAAAAGTTGTAGTTTGTTTAGTCTTAGAAATTGGAAGGGATACCTTTTCCTCTTACGACTGAGGTCAAGAAGGCATGGTGTTGTGCAGATGTTTTCAAGATACGAAAGAAGAAGGAAACTAGGACTGGGTAGACTTCATCTCACTACAGCAATAGATGATGCGTGTCTGAGAGTGGAGGTAAGGAGGAGGTACAATTACAGGCTTAAGGAGAGTGAAAGCAAATTTTTAAATGTTCCTTTTGGGGTGAAGGAGAATGAGAAGAGCAGCAAGAGGTAAACAAAAGGATTGTTGAGCAGTGAGAGGACCCAGCTGGAGGCTGATGGGATGGTTGTAGAGGTTAGAAGTGGATTGTGGACTCATTCCTGTCTTAATGCTAGTAACTTAGATGTAAGAATTTGGTTGGAAGGTAATAACTTTTCTCACAGAATACACTGTTTTTAGGAATTCTTGGACTCAGAGCTGAGAGATGTATTTAAGTTCAATTCTTGATTAATAGAAAACAAAAATGTTCATGTATAATTACATCACCAAGATGAAGAATAAAGACTTATTATGTGCATTATTTCATAAACCATAAAACGTATTAACCTCATACTTCCATTTTTAACAGTAAGAGGTAACTTACCTTCATTGATGAAAGTTACTGGTGGTATCTTGAAGGGACTTTTGGTGGGAGAAGTTCCCAGATCAGGTGGTGGCATTAAGTCTCTGGGATAACCTGGATCCCTCTGTATCTCGTTACCTCCCAGCAGTCCGGGAGTGTATTGATGACTGTTAGGGATATGCTGTGGCACTACCTGGACAAGAGGAGGAGACACATGGGGGTCTTGTCGGGAAAATATGTTCAAGCACTGTTCTTCCAACGCAGTGATCATCACAGACTGGTTATTGACGAGATCAGTCAAGGAAGCATATTTTACCTCTAGTTCCCTGTACCTTGTTGCCATCTTCAGCATTTCTGTAGTGACATTGAGGATTTTATTTTCCAACTGGGAAAGTTCAAGTGAGTTATCCCTCTTACGGATAATCTCATGTAGTAGTTGCATATAGAGTTGAGTAACACGTGAGTTCATGTTACGGCTTTCTTTTCTCAGCAGCTTTACCTCATTGACAATGTTTCCATCTACATCCACCACCAACTGCAGGACGTCTATCTCTCGCTTCTGCCTAGAGAGCACGTCCTTCAGGTTTTCAAGGTCCATCCTGGTGATCATGTCTTTAATGGTACTTGCATCTTGCCCTTTGGTATTAACACAAATTGGCCCTGTAATTTTTTGTTCAGGTACCAGGAATGTGTATGCACATTTCTTTACTTCCTCTTTACCATCTGTGGCACGGGGGTATCTCCTCTGGGATGTTTTTTTTATTTTGAACTCTCCTCCTCTGCATTGTCCAGTGCCCATTAGTAGGAAGAATAGCACACTTAGGGTCCAGAAAAAAGCCTTCATTTTGAAATGAGGTTGTATGAAGTCTTTTAAAAAACAATGAAAACATAAGTAAGTAAATAAAGTAGAATAATAAACATGAGCAAAACCCAGGATGAGTCATCTTGCAGTCAAGATGATACTGTTATTAGCTGGTTGTATTATATTGGCGTTAAGAATAATTGTTTATATTTGAGGTGGTCCATTAAAAAAATAAACAAAAACTAATAAAACCAGTGTGCTCCAACAGAATTCTCAGCCGTGTGTGGATTACATTGTGTGCACTTCCTAATTTATCAAAAATTGTTAAATATACTACCTCTTTTTAGAATTCAAAATGTGTTACTAGAAAACTGCATTAAAGTTCATGTCTTTTCTTAAGTAAAATAAACCAATGGGGAAAAGTAAAAATCAATTTTAACCTACTTTTAAAGTCAATAATATTAAAAAAAAAAAATAAGGGGAAAACTGGGTATCTATTGGTGTTACTAAACTGGGCCAAAATTAATGTTACTACTTTGTTAAATTCAACATCATAATGTGTTTGCATTTGTCTAAAACTTAGGTTTCAGAGAATAGCTCTCCAACTACCACCTCACTATAATGCTTTTTATTCCTCATTTCAGTGCCCACTGTGTGCAGAGGCATAGGGTTAGTGTTCTTGGGTGCTTTGAGACCCTAATAAGACACTTTTCTTACCTTTGGAAAGTTTAATTATTGTCTGAAGGCTCTGAAAGTGATACACAATGTTTGTAAGGTATTAATTAAAACATTCTTCCCTAACTAGTATTAAATATACTTTATATATTTATTTTAGATTGTATCTATTTATTTGAGAGAAAAGAAAGTACAAGCAGGGGAAGAGGCAGAAGGAGCAGCAGTCTCCCCACTGAGCAGGGAGCCCGATGTGGGGCTTGATCCCAGGACACTGGGATCATGACCTGAGTCAAAGGCAGATGTTTAACTGACTGAGCCACCCAGGTGCCCCTCTTCCCTAACTAGTATTAAAGTTAATAGGTGACTTTATTAGTTATTATTTTATATTTATATTATGTGGTTTTAGTTAATTGGCCCTCTATAGTAAGTATCTTTTTTATCTGTCAAAGAGACATTTTTTAGACAGATCTCAGACCAGGAAGTTTTGGCGTTATGTTTTTTGTTTTGTAGCCTGTCCTTTTGGGATTAGTGACAAGTTTAAGAATGAGAGAATCTTTACAGTCATTATTGTGGGTAATTGTGTTTTCTGAACTATAATCCTATAAATGCTCTAAGCTTACATATGATTTAGCAGGTTCATTCTTTTTTTTTTTTTAAGCAGTTTAATTCTTATAACAGAGAGTCTACTGAACAGTATTTTAGTAAAATTTCAATAGTTTCCTGAAACCATTACCAAGGAAAGAAACTCTCTGTAGTTGAATATGATTGTTAGAGTTGGAAGGTGCCTTTGAGAACCTCTTTGCACTCATGTGCATTTTGAAAGCCCAGGCCACGCAAATCGGTAGTATTAGAACCGGTCAAGGATTCAGGTTCCCCGGCTCCTCGGCTGACATTGCTAGCAGTGGCACGCATTGCTGGCTTGTGTGCTTGGAGTGTTTCATTTTTGCTGTGACAGAGAAACACTTGTCCCTCATAGTACAGTTTCTGTAGAAACACCAGTACTTGCTCTTAAGAACCGAAGCTGCTTACTGTTTCACGAGTTACCTCCCTCTGGAGTAGTTGCAGTAAAGTGACTGAGATGTGCCGCTTCCCTCAGCCGCACAAGCAGGCTGCTGGAGCACATGGCCCACCTTTCCCCCTCATAAACTGGGTGCCTAACTGCTGTTTTTGAAGGATGGCAGTGGATACACTAAGGCAGAACTCTTCTGTCCCACTTTCCACCCAAGTTCTTGTTTTTGATTTGAGAAGTCAGGTCCCAAATTGTTTATGCCTACAATTAAAAATAGCAATGCAGTAATAACAGTAGTTCATACTTCTTGGGTTTTTTACCTTGTTTTAAGCCCTTTTGCATGTATTAAGTAAATTACTTGTAACTCCAGCCCTTTAAGTAGATTATTACAGTCCTCATCTTCAGTGAAGGACTGGCATCCAGAAATTAAGGACCTTACCCAGAGTGTCACACAGCTTCTGAGAGATGCAGCCAGAGTCTGAACCGAGGCAAAAGACTCGAGTTGATGTTTCTCTTTTTCATTAACCACTGCAGCATATGGTGACATATTCTGTCCTCTATTTTCTGTCACCGAGAGCATAACAATCCCTTAATGCTTGTTAACTATTTGCATTCACAACAACACTGTGAAATAAATGTATACTCTTTTTACAAAGAAATAAAGTCCCAGAGAAGCCAGAATTGGCACTCACATTGGATTCAGTTCTTCTCGTAACTTTTCCGGACCTGTGAATTTTATCGTAGTCATGCTGTAACTATAGAGGAGCCTTAACTTTGTGCTTCTTGTTTTTCAGTCTTTTTCTGGTTTGTAGGTCTTTACATGGGCCCATTACTTATTTATGAAAAGGTATTTGTGAATCATTTTTGTTAGGCTGTTTGCATCGTTTTTCAATCCCAGACTTCTGCTGTCATTCCTTCCCCCGTATGTATTACTATTACTTGATAGCTACAGAACTAACTTGTGATTAGGAACCCTCCCCCAAAAATGAAGGTTCTTACGATCCATGAAATAAGGATTCCCAACTGCTTTCATAAAGATGACTGCCCCTTTTAAAACCATGTCTCTTTGGTGTTTTCAAATAAATAGTGTTTTCAAAGTGGAGTGATAATGAAAATAAAGCAGAGTGGATGGAGTGTGGAAAATAATTTGTCTCTCACTAACATAACCAAGATAAGAGGAATGAGCACAATAATATTCCATATTAGTATCAGAGGCTGGCTGTTGCTTACTGATAAAAGTGCACTTGGATGAGTACTTTAGTTTTTTGTTTTTATATTTTTGCCTCTGATGTCAAGAGAAAATTTAGACCTTAAAGTCTTCTATTTTATAAGAAAAAGACTTTTATTGTACTAGAGTTACCAATAAAAGATTTTTCGTTATATTTGCAGATTCATGGGATTTAGATATGGTCTTTATATTTGCAGATTCATGGGATTTAGATATGGTTTATTTTTAAAACTGGGACAGTAAAATGTACAGTACTTCTCCTACATAGTTAACTTACTAGTCCTCAGATTCACTCATTTCACTTTTTTTTTTCACTCATTTCACTTTAATAATAGAATGGAAATTCTTAGACTATAAAGTTATTTTATTTAAATAATCTATGAAATAAGCTACCAAAACAAGGGAAATTCAGAAGCTGTCGTGTAACTTCAAAACAAGTAGAATTTCATGAACAATATTCTGATTGGAACAGCTTGTATTCCTACCAGACACAGATTTGTATAGGACAACTAAGAACATGTAATCCAAGACTGTTATTGTGACTTTACGTCAGTGTTGTCATGAAAGAACAAAGATGAGAAATTAAAATAGCAGTAGCTTCCCTTTGTTGTCGTCTGCCTTGGCTCTTCATGGGCTCCTGCACGATTAAATCGTAAGATAAATCCTCGTGTACCGTGAGAGAATCTGACCTAAGTATTTAAAGGAAGCAACTAAACATTTGTTCTTAAATAAATACAATTCCTTTGACCTTATAAAAGTAGTGACTTCGTTGTCACCCAAAGAAATATAAGGAGACACATTTCTGAAGTAGTAGACTAGCTACGTCATGAGTAAGAACTGGTTTAAAAATACATTTACTGTTACATTTTCTGAAAACATTCTCTTATTTAATATTTTCCCACCACGTTCTGTTTTAAAAGTGTAAGTTCTATAAATCTGTGTTACCTCATAAAACCTTTCTGTATATGTTAAAACTTTCCTAGGTCCCAAGAGAACGTTATAAATTCGTTACAGTATACTTAGGTTTAAATCGATGCCTTTGCTTGGTTGTTTTTAGGAAAAAAAGGGGGGAAAAAAGTCCATGCTTTGAGTTAATTTTCTTGGTATTATTTCTCTTCATAGTTGCTACACTGCCAGCTAGTAGAGAGAAGAAATAAAAATCAGGATTTACTTCCTTTCAGATGGTAAATGCATAGAGGCATTTAACTGCCTATGTCACGCACTAAAAACAGCGTGAGGCAATGAACTTAAATTTATGAAGCATTGAAGATGCTTTAGATATTTCTAGATGGTGAATTATGTTCTGGGAAAAGACTTGAGAACAGTCTCATCCCCGGAGATATTAAAGAAAGGGATAGTAGTTATCTTTATGTTTGGGGTTTCAGATTCGATGCTTGCCTAAGGCTTCAGTAAGAACCAAGGTTTAATGAGGTTCTGCACTTTTCATAGCAAACAGCAACAGAAAAGAGAGAGATGGCAGTATTGCTTGGACATTTTATCAGTTTCTTGTAAAATATGTTCAACAGAGATCCTCCCAGGATTTAGAGTATGAATCTTTAAGGAAAAGACATGAAAGTAAAGTTGAAAAAATCTGAGCTTTACAGTTGTTTGCTTATTGAAGTTTCTTACCATTTAATGTCTTTAGTTTTAGAAAAACAGAGGATCCCCAGATCATTTAAAAAAACCTTAAGTGTCTTTGGTGTTTAAAGCAAACTAGTAATTTTGCTAACTAGTAATTTTATTTTTAACAGTTCTCATAATACAATTTAAGTAGAATATTGAAAGAAAGTAGAATATTGAAAGAAACCTCTTGCTTGGTTACCGAAATTATGTCTGTCTAAAATATATATATATTTTTGGTCTTTTGATCATGTATTTAAGTAATTGTACTTAATACAGTTTAAGTAATTCTATCTTCTGGGTTCTTATTTTCTACTGTTATTGCTGACTACTTACTTAATAGTTAAGTCACATTTTCTTTTTTTCCTTAATTCTAACCTGCAAAGTTTTAGGTTTTGTTTTTTTTTTTTAATGTATCAATAACTTTGCTTTCTTAAGTAATTCTAGGTATAGCAGTTTTAATTTCTGTTACCCAAGTTAAATAACTGTTACATGTAAACCTGAAAAGTTATTTAAAATTCTTTGAGTTTTTGCAAGAAACACCATAGACTTAGCTTAAATCTTTACCAAAATTTCTGCTTGATATTTGGTTATACTATAATTGAGGGATTGTTGCAAAGCCTTCCAGTTAATTTTACATCTTTTTAGCTGTGTTTCATAGCTATACTTTAAGATCTCTAACAGTATACGTGATCTGCCAGCGCGCGCGCGCGCACACACACACACACACACACACACACACTGGAATTGCATGGAGAGAGGCTAATGTTTACAAGCTCTTTTCTTTTGTTTGTATCCCTTTGTTTTTAATCACTGTGTTATAAACTTTATACATTGAATCTGTTACTTACTAAAAATTTCTTTCTGGTGTCACTAAAGCACTTGTTTTCTGAAACCTAACATGTATGTAGCAATGTATAAGCATATATACCAAATATTACTAAATTGAACCTCAAAGCATGCATTAATCATCACAAAGTACATAATGATCAGTTTTTTAACATAAAGGTGCAAAAAAACCCAGCCCTTTTTCAGCTAAAATAACTTGTTTAGTATATTTTAAAATTCTTCATTTAATAAAAGATTTTGAAATTTCTACAGATGTAGAATTTTGAACATACACAGAATGTCAAAGAAAAATAAATATTAAAATACCTTTATGCATCTGTTGATAAAGCAGACCCAGAAACTTGCTGCTCTTTTTCTTGCGTTTAAAAATCAGTGTAGAAGTTTGTTCCTCTGTGACTTTAATGGCAATTGCATTTTTGCTTTGGACCGTCAAATTCCATCTGTAATAAGGAACTTCTTTTTCTTCTTACAACGCTAATCAATTGAACTTGACAAGCCACCTATGTAATTTTAAGTAGTATAGTGGAAGTTCTGGTCTGCGGGCTGTCTTTAATCCGGCAGAGAAAGCATTGTGGCTTTGCTCTGTCTGCCACATGGAGAAGTGCAGTAACCGGCTGCAGCTGACCCAGATTGTACATACAGCACCCTCGAATAGTGATTCCCTCTCTTTCTCAGTAAACTCAAGTTCAGCCCACATACTACGTCACTAAAAATTGCTGGAGACTAAGGGGGAAAATCTCCTCCTTAGGATTTCCTCTCTGTAGCCTTAAGTACGGGTGGGGGTGGTGGGATCAGCAGGAGGTTGAATAGCTCTGAACAAGGAGAGACTGTGTGCAGGTTGAAGGAAGGGCACCATCTGGAAACAAACTATCATAGTTCAGCGGGCAATTATAAAACAAACATTTTAGTCTGCTGGCCAGAGATCTTTTAACTTGAGTACTGAAAAAATAGTACTCCGCTTCTCAGAAATAGTAACAGGCTGATAAGTTTGGTTTTTTGTTACAAAGAACAAGAGTTAGACTTCGTCACCCGGCAGCCACCTAAATAATGTAATACTTTTCATATTGTAGAGAATTTTTAAACTTCACTAAGTTGCCATTTCAGAAGGTTTTAAACATAGACGAATCTTGATGTTGTTGTGATATCTTACTGTGTAATGTCTCTTAATAAAACTGTTCATACATATAATTAATATAAATGGAAGTCTGTATATGAAATTCATTAATATAATACGTCGAAAATTCTGATGTTGTATAGTGTCACTTGCTCCTATTCTAAAAACATGACCCCTCTTGTTTGAATAAGGTTATTCTTAGTAGTTGATGTTTTGAGATTTAAAAGCAAACATAACTCTGGCCTGAAAAAGAGTTCTGACTCCCTGCTGGCTCTGTGGATTTAGAAAAGTCTAGAGAGAGAGAATTAGTAACTGTTGAGTACTAACTTTGCTATTATATTTCATTAAACTCAGAAGTGTTGATTAAGTAGCTTAATAGCTAATGAAACAGAAATTGGGGCATCTTAACTGATTTGGTAACTTCACTGCTAAGTAGTAGAACTGGGGTTTGAATCTAATTCCAAAGCATTGTGCCATACTGTCTCTCCTTGAATTCTGTAATTACTGATTGCAGCTTCTAGGTAAAATTTTGCAGGGCTTCTAATTTTTATATATACCATGTGCTTTCCCCTCCTTGCTGCCTTAGCTTGAGCTGTTTTTTCTCTGTCGAACCACATTGTTTATTTAAAGTCAGCCCAGTTTCTGCCTCTTTCACAGAATTGTTTCTTTAAATTCTGTGACATATATAGGTATACCAGGGGTTGCAAACTCAAGGTGTACAAAGACCAAATACTCACAAGAATGAGACAAGTAATGTAAGTAAGTGAAATAAACCAGAAGTAAAGTAACAAAGGAAAATGAGTTAGGACAAACCGGCATCCTTAAGGTTAATACGGTGGGATCTGCACCCTTCTCAGCTGTGCCTCATTATTGCCAGATCTTCCCATTTTTTAGGAAGAGAAAGTCACTTAGGTATTTCCTATGATATTTCCTGGTTTTAAAAACATTGGGACAGATGAATGCCAGCTTTTAGGCTCTGATATATGTTATAGAATGCATTACTTGATCATTTAATATTACTTGATCCTCTTGTATTCACTAATAACCTAATATGGGAGAAAATACAAGATAGTAAGTTTCTCCTGAACTGTTTTACTTGAGTAGTTTTGAACTTTCTAACTTTAACAATTAGTAATACCTCTAACTAAGGTAAGAAGTTGGGATGTCGTGTGTTTTGAGACAAATAATGATTAGTTTGGCATGTCAAATTGAAAATTAAAGATTTCAGTTCTAAAAAGAGATTTGAAAAGTCATTGGCAATTAGGTGATGGTTGAGGCTACAGAAGTAAGATAATCGAGGAAAGGAACATGCAGAGTGAGATGAATGACAGAACCATGGAGAACATCAATTTCTAGGGAACATGAGGAAAAAGAAGAATTGGCGGGGTGGAGGGGGGGCGGCGGCAAGGAAGGTCCAAGCCAGTAAAGCCCCAAAGAACAAAGGGAATAATAAAAATACTGAGACACTAATGAGCAGCGGGAGACCAAGAGAGATGTTTAAAGATTTAATAATGAGCAGGTCCCTTATACCCTTGTTGGAGTAAATTTCAGCAAGATACAGATTTCAGACTGTATTTTTTTTTTTAGAGATTTTATTCATTTATTTGAGAGAGAGTGCACGAGCAAGGGGAAGAGCAGAGCGTGAGGGAGAAGCGGAAGAAGCAGACTCCCTGCTTAGCAGGGAGCCCAGTACGGGACTCAATCCTAGGACCCTAGGATCATGACCTGAACTGAAGGCAGGTGTTCGACCAACTGAGCCACCCAGGTACCCCAGCTTTCAGACTGTATAGTAGATTGAAAAGTGGATTAAATTTAACTGCCAAGTGGATTGGTTTCCACAATATATTAAGAACTTAGAAATCAGTAAGAAAAAAAGACAACCCCGAGGAAAAAATGGATAAAAGACATTTCATAGAAATATAAATATGTAACCTCATTACCAATCAAAAAAAGGAAAATTTAAAAACACAGTGAGATATTATTTTATACCTATAAGATTGGCAGAAGTCAAGAAGACTGATAATAATCAAGTGTTAGCACAAGAGCGGACTAGTAGAAACTTAAATGCTATCAGTGGTAGTGTGAATTGATAAAGCTTTAAAAACCAGTGGAGGGGCGTCTGGGTGGCTCAGTGAGTTAAAGCCTCTGCCTTCCAGCTCAGGTCATGATCCCAGGGTCCTGGGATTGAGCCCCACATCCGGCTCTCTGCTTGGCGGGGAGCCTGCTTACCGCCCCCCCCCCACCTCCTGCCTCTGCCTACTTGTGATCTCTGGCAAATAAATAAATAAAATCTTTAAAAAAAAAAAAAGTATGAAGCTGAACATTAATAAACCATATAAATGCCATATATGTAATATAATATGAGATATATCCTAGGACAATTCTTGTACATGTGTCCCAGGAGATACTTATAAGAATGTCAGTAGCAACGCGTAGGGAGGGAAGAAGTAACTTAAAAGTATCAAATAAGTGAGTAAATTGTGATACAGTTACATGTTAATATATTCTCAGTCTAAGGAATTACTGCTGCATTTAACAACACAAGTAACTCCTGGAAACAAAATGGTGAGACACAGCAATCACAGAAGGCCATATTTTTAAAAATTTAATAAACACCTATAAATTTACAGGTGTTTGTTACTTACTGTGTTACTTACTGTGTACCTATGTTTACGAATGTTATCATTGAATTTAACCGTAAGTAAAAGTAAATATATCGTGCAGGGATACAGACAGATGTCTTGGGAAAAACAAAACGAGAGAATAATTTTAAGTTTTGGAGTAGTGGTTAGTTAGCTCTGGATGGGAGGCAGGGAGATCATACAGGGAATGAACAGTACAGGTGATGATGTACTTCTTAAGCTGGCTGGTCATTCACCGGTATCTATTACATCGCTTGATAACAAGCAGTATTACATAAGTTAGAGTATACTTTTTAAAATGGTAAAATCATGGGCGCCTGGGTAGCTCAGTGGGTTAAGCCGCTGCCTTCGGCTCAGGTCATGATCTCAGGGTCCTGGGATCGAGTCCTGCATCGGGCTCTCTGCTCAGCAGGGAGCCTGCTTCCCTTCCTCTCTCTCTCTGCCTGCCTCTCTGCCTACTTGTGATCTCTCTCTCTGTCAAATAAATAATAAATAAAATCTTTAAAAAAAAATAAAATGGTAAAATCATGATTCTTAAACAAATACAAAATGAGTACATGTCACGTTTCTATTTAAATCATTAAATTTATAAGGGGATCAGGAGGATACTGCAACCATTTCAGGAGAGAATTCAGAGTACCACATGTACCATATAGTCAAAAATGCTAAGATAAATTTATACATAGTTGCAAAACTGGCCAGCATCCGTAGAGCATTAATCATTTACATTTTACTGAACATACGGCATTGGCATTTTTATGGACAGGAGTTTGTATTATTACTAGTTTTCAAAAACTTAGAGTTTGTCAGATAGCTCAGAAAGTCCATAAGGATACACTGGAGATAGGACACCTGGTAATTTTTTTTTTTTTTTTTTTTGCCTATTTCAGAGACTGTCATAATTTTTCCTGACTCATGTAAACTTTTGTATGTGTCAGATATTTCATTAAAAAGAGATGAAGGGTTAAATAAGTGGAGGAGTCTCTCTTTCTCTTTCAAGCTGTTTGTTACAGAGAAAGGGACAGGGGTCCTGTCCAGAGGAGGAATCAGATGTGAACAAAGAGTTACCTTGATTTTGTTTTCTTCAAGAGAGAAGGTGTAAATGTAGGCCTCCGCTCCGCTCCGGAAAGGAGCCCACGGTGGGTGAGGAGGCTGTCGTGATTACACTCAAAATCACAGTGGAGAGGAAAAAGGGATTCTTTTTCCTCTGAGATGAAGGCAAAGCAGCTACGCTAAGGAGTCATTTGAAGTCATTAAAAAAGAAGTTGAGAGTCTCTGAAGTAAAGGAAGTATTTATGATAGATGGCATCGAGAGTACCATTAAAGACTTCTTGAATGGAAAAAGAATGAATAGGATGAGTAAAAAGATTGCCAGCCCAAGATTTTAGGTGGTTTTAAACACCTATTGTCAAAACACTGCACAAAATTTTCATTTTCTTAGAGTGCAAGATAGAGCAACTGCCTTAAATGAGTTTATAGTCTTGAGCAGATAAGATATAAATAGAGTTTAAACAGATTATAAAGTCATAAAAATTACCAAGTGAATGGTATTACAGATACTGTATGAATTTATACCAGCGGGTAGTGGAGAAGCTAGGGTACAGGTATATACTCTGAGGTCCAGCTTTGTTACTAACCGTTCACATGGCATTAGTCTGTCAATATCCGTGGACCTCGGATTCTTCATCTGTAAAAAGGGGGTTAGACTGGACAGTTTCTACATTCCTTTCTTGGAGTCTATGAGAAAACTAAAGAACAGTTGACACTGACCTAGATATTAAATAAAATTGAGATGGGCAGAGATAAGTCTCGGAAACAGTCAAGATGAAAGAAACAGCATGAAAAAAGAACACAGGGCTTTTTTGGAAGGCAGTGTATGTGGTACATAGGTGGTTTTTTCAGAGTCCATGAAATGT